TCGCAAGTTCTAAGCAATGAACTTTAGACTAAAATAAGCCTAACATATCATTCCTGTTTTTCCGATACTTATAGTTGGAACATCAGGAATTTTCGGATAGATCTGTGCTTCACATTTAGCCTATTTATAATTTGTTGCTTAATAATGTACGATGCTCCAATGAATTTACTGGTGTATAACAACTTACCGGGGCTAGAAACTTCTAAGGTTTCTGAGAAATTGTTGAAAAAACTTTGAAAGCAAAAATTGAAAGAACGATTGGACCATCTTGGAATTTAGACATTATGTTTACATGATTGATATTCATGTCAGTACTTCTCGATTTCAGTGGAACAAATTCGGTAATATAACAAGTGGAAAAGTGACCTATTATCACCATCAATCCATTTACTTCTTTTTCTAACTTTTTGTATCAGGATGTAGAATTTCAGAAACTCTTTCATTCGAATCAGTTTTTTAAAATTATTTTCAGAGGCTTTAATATTTTTTAGTCTTTCCAAATACTGTTTTAAAACTTATGCTGTTAATGCAGAGCAACATCTTATGTTAAGTGCTTTCAAATGCTCTCATAATTTTGTAAAGAATTTAAACCTACTCCATTTATAAGTCCAGTGCGAATCTCAGGTCCCTTAGTGTCCAGAGCAATTCCAATTAGTGGCTTTTGATGAAAACTTCGCACTGCTTCGCGTATGCTTTTTATTGTTGTTGCATGGTACTGGAAAGAAAACTAGTTTCAGTTTGGCTTTCAAAGATGCACTGAAAGAATCATCTGAATAGTTTTTAAACGCAAATTTCTTGAGCAGTGAAAGATCATACAATTAAAATTATTAATACAAACCTCATGAGATCCATGGCTAAAATTCAGGCGAGCAATATTCATGCCCGATGATATCATTTCTTTTAGTTTATCCACACTTCCACAAGCTGGTCCTACAATTCCAGCATAAAATGGATGATTAAATAAATTCGAAATTGGGCTATACTATGCAAAGATTATCATTGTTTTAACGATACATTGGATAAGCACTGATGAGAAGGAAATAAGGAGAGAAGATCAAATATTTCCATAATTACAGATAGTATTTTTTAAATTTTGTTCGGGACACTTTATCATGGATCAATTAGGACGTGGATGGAACTTGGCTGTAACTTGAATTAATCCATCAGAAATGTATTTGCTGAAAAGTGTTGGGCCAAGGAGTTGGGAAAAGTGAATTATTTCCAGTTTTCTAGATTGAAGCACTTTATACCAATAGTGCATATAATTGTTGTTTTTCTTTCGATATGTGGCTGATTGTAAATGTTTATCTTGCACTTATGCGTGAGATTTGTGGATACTTCCTGGTTCTCTGTTGACCTAAATTTTAATCATTTTATAGAGACTCTGCTGGTAAATACACGTTTCAATTTTAAGTTACCTTATGATAATTAATTTAAGCGTAATAATCGAGTTTTTAATTGAATTAAAATACACATATATTTTTCAAAAAAAAAAGTGTCATGCAATATGTCCTATATGTTACCTTTAAGTGACAAAATTTAGGATTATTTAAAGATTTGATAGGTCATGTATCCATAAATTCATTTTTTCTTTGTCCCAATCATTTGAAATTTCTGAACCCATTTTCAGATTGGGGAATTTTCTTCAAGTGCATATTATTTAAGCAAAAGCATAAAAATAAGCTCAATTCATAAAATTTTGTCTGCCTATCACGCTGACACGAACTTTTTTCCAAAATTTTTGAATTTAATTCAGGTTCGAGCATACGGAGAATATCTTTCTTTCTGTTGGAAGTTTGGAATCATTTTTACAGGCACATAAATAGCTATCAGAGACACAAGCATTAGAATTGAAAAATTGTGCATCAGTTTTGTCTAATTTTGCCCGCATTCATTTTTATTACATAACAGTTTTTTCTCGAACTGGAAAGAAACAGCTCCCATCCCAGTGTTTACTGTACTTTTTCTTCTTCATGGAGGAATATTTTAGTTTGGTTGATTTTCAAACTTAAGCTTTTACTAATTTTATTAGGATAGTTTGAATTAAGTTATTCCGCAGATTTGGTTGCTTTCCTTATTACTTTCCCCTCTCCACTGAAGACCACAAATGCTGAATTCAGATTTTCAACTTGGACTGATTGTTAGTCAGCATAATTGCTCGCTACTGATACTCTTCCAATAATCTCATGAATTGCTGTCGCAGAAGAATTTAATTAGCCTTACTTTCTCATTGTTCACTTTACTTATGTTCCATTCTATCATAATAATCTGTTTCAGATTGTAGTTTAAGTAATTACAAACGAAATAATTGATTTTTGTCCACAAATTCCCTAGAAGCACATTAAACCATTTATAGTTATGCCGAGCAAAACATACACCATATTTAGAGTCAGTGGCGCACTTTTCCGCACTCCCAAAGTTTAGAAAGACACACCCGATCGGCAGCTATACAGAATAGAAGAATGAGGTGATTTAACATTTTTGTTCTAAATATGATGATAATCTGAATGAGAAATTTGCATCTTATACAAAAATCATTTAAATCTAAAATCTTGCGGAATTTAGTTTTTTATTTTTGAATTTTTATATGCCATTTATATACAGTAAACTTTCCATGGAAGTCAAATCACATAATTAATTGAAGTTGAATTGGTTTACAATTGGTTTCAGAGATGTACTAAATCAACTGATTTCTTATTAGGACCGTCCAACGGTTTCATCTGTTGCATGTATTCAGTAATGACCCCTGGACGATAGTATTTATGGATATAATTATGCAACTGATGTTCCACATTTGCTCGTGCTGATCCATTCCTAAATTAACAATTTATTTGGGGTGTCAGAAGTAAACATTTCACTTGTTTTCGACTTAGCTCATTTTTAAATATGTTGATTCGTGTCTTTCCGCGGATGAGTATGTTGAGTTTTCATCTATCGATCAAATTGCTTTCAAACAAAATTTGAAAGGATATTTTTTAGAAAAAAGAAAGTGGAGAGAAAGACATTATAATGTTGCAGGCTATTACTTACATTTTAAGAGTGGAAACATCAAAAACATTACAAAAAAAATAGTAAGCAAACTGACGCAGTGATATCATCATTGAAGAAAAGAATATGAAGAGATTTCATCTGTTCATCGAAATACTTTCTAAGAACAGTCCTACAATTAAAATAATAATTAGAGAAAATAGAGATGAATATAATCTTTCAACTCTACTTTGCTTTGAGTTTAGGTTCGAATTCTCTGTCCTTTGTCTGCGAAGGAAACACATGACTCTCAAATTCTTGATTATAATCAGCTCGAAAAAGTAGCCTATCCAATATTAATTAGCGTAATTAACGATGTAATTAGTCATATGATGAAGTGGTTGTAATTATTCAAAAGTAGGAAGATGCTATTTGACCCTAAACCGTTGCAAATACAAACCTACCACGACCTTTTAGGCTTTTTCATTTATAATAAAGAATAATGAACCGAAAAATGAAATATGCGGCGGTCAATACTAAGATAAAGCCAGTTGTCCAGCGCAGAGATGTAGTGTAATCTAGAGAAGTTGTCAGATAGTTTTGTTGTTCATATTCAGCAAAAGCCTAGGATATGAAATGTTATTTACAGCAATAAGCGATCAAAAGCGAAGCAATTTGTGAAGAACGAATAAACGCACCAATATTTGGGAGAAAATGGAGTGAACCAGAAAATGGAATGTGGACAACCGTACCATCATTTGGGAGAAAATGAAGTGAGGAGAGCCGCACCATTTCTCTTAATTTTTTTTTGGGGAGGAACTGGAACACTAAGTAACTGATCTGTCCAAACCTGAATTTGGATGAAGGAGAAGACGAGCAGAAGTGGAAATGTCGAAGAAAAAAAGCATCGAAAAGTGATAAAATTATCAAATAAACTTATCATAAAAAATGGCTTTCTTGATGAGGAAGATAAGATAACGTCCGGATGCAATATTCGAAGCTTTTTTACTCGCAACAGATGTAAAAAAACTCGTACCGATAAATGCAATGAATTAGGTAACTTCAGAAGAAATTTAGACAGCAAAACAAAAAATTCAAAAGAGACATGTAATGGAGTCCGATACGGTAAATGAACTTTAGGAGTTTAATATGAAAAAGTATGAAATGGCACTAATTACAATTATTCTCTCTTACAAAGAAGAAATGAGTAAATTATTGCTCTCCGAAGCAATACTTTTCGGTGATGTCTTAATTTAAGTAAAGTAAAGCAGCTTTAGATAATTTAACGTTGACAGATTTGAATACTTTTTTATCAAAGAACCTTTCTAAGGTCACATTTACTGTCTCAATCCTTTTCGTATCCTTCATCACTTATCAATCAATACCTGTAAAGAATTGTATTTGTCTTGAGTGCGTACACATGCATCCATATACTTGCTATATTGTTCACTTTTATTTTTCAATCATTTTCAAAGTTCACTACAGAATGCCTTCTGCAGGATGAATTCAATGTTTCAGTATAATCACAGAGGAAAGTAAAACTCGAGAATAACCATATGAATAAAATCAAATGAATGGAAGTTACAATGCCACTCTTTTGAAGAAATGCGCAATGCGCTTGTCTCCAAATGACAAATTAAATGAAATAATGAAAAGTGTTTTGCTCAGAATCTCGAAGAGTGTAAACCTGCTTAGCTTCCATATCCATCGCCAAATTGTCATGTCATCCCAATCTTGCTGAATTAAACTATACCAGTGATTCTGGCATTATTTAGGGTGGTCATTCATCTCTCACTATGATGTAAAATCCATCAGTTACTATTTTATTAAAATTTTACGCATTATTCATTTATTTGACGTAATAGTATAAAAAAATATGACCAAAAAATAGAATAAACTAATATATTGGACGTTAAAATGTTTTATATTATTTGCTGGAAATATTTGAACAATCTGTGCTGTTTGAATGTAACCCTCAAACCCTCAGATTTGATGGATTCCATTTTCTAACACTCAAAACAATTTCTGTATCAATGGAATAGAATCATATTATTGATAAATGGATTTTTAAAAAGGTTGCTCGCGAATTCCCTCTTGTAATAGTTCAGTTTTTTCGCGAAAAGCAGCAAAAATCGAATTTTGGGCGGCGGCAATTTTTCTTCAGCAATCAGGCAATTGCATAATAAAGTTTATTTGCATTAGCATTGATTTGATTTCTTTTGATTTACACTTCCCAAATGTTATTTAATTCGAGTTATTTTCTACCCAAATCGAAAATTCAAATATTTTTTACTGCTATTATTTAGGCAACCTAAATGTAATTGACAACCACAGGGAACGAATATCTGTAAAACAGAAATTGTTTACATGAAATAATTAAGTCCCAACTATTTATAATAAGATATGATGTTACCAAGTATTTAAAATACATCGGCTTAAGTTACGTAAACTGATAAACTGAAATGATCAAATATTGGAGATTATCATCAGGATAGAGACCATTGTTCGGCAGTTATCCAGAGATAACATGTCACGACATAATATACATATCAAAATCAATTATAGTCTTTTTTAAATAAGTTGTCATTAATTACTATGCATAATTCATTCTCACTTGTGGAAAAGGGAGGGAAGAAGGGAGAAGAAAGAGTCAAGTTATTTCTTTTTTTCACTCACCAACAAATGTTTCCCACATACTTGTCAAATCAAGCCGTCAATGGCAAAAGCAAGCCATGCTAGAAGGGCACTTTTTTTCATTACAATTATCATTTCTAACTTACGTTTTTTTTCGTCTATAATGCTTTTGCTTTTTCCGC